AGTTGTGGTGGTATTGGTGGAACTGGTGGTTCCCAAAATATTTGGTATAAATGTCTATATGAGATTTTTGTTGATTTTCATGTTGATTTTGTCTAATTCACAGGGGAACTCTATCAAAAAAATTTCTACAAAAATATTGTCGTCATAGAATAGTCAACCAGTCGTAGAATAATCTACTTGGCCTTGGTGGTAAGTCCAGCATCTAGATGAAATTCACCATCGGCGCACATCACGTCTGGATCCACTAGGAAGACTCAAGACAGTGTCATGTCAATATATTTTCATCATTTCATTACCAAGAGGTTTTCCTGTCTAAAATTTGTTTGTCACTTGTAATTTTTAGCAATAAACTTTTACTACTGCCAAAACATTTTTACTCATTTCTAATCCATTACTTGCTTTTTGAATCCATCATACTAGCACGGCTTGTCCTGGGTTGAAATTTTTTTTCGAGTTTTTGCTTTCTGTGACCCCTTTTTGTTGCAGTTTTAAAGAGGAAACTGAAACAGAAAACTTCAATTCAGAAAAATTACGAAGGCTGAGTTTGAAATATAGGCCACTGGAAGAAACTCTTGTCAGTCCTTGTTTGAGCCATATTTTCATTTTCATTCTTCTATTCATTTTCAACGACACATTTTTCAATAAAATAATAGTTTCCATCACATCAATAAAGTTTCATTATTTTTCAACCACATATTCATCATCACATTACAAAAAAAATGCATTCTTTCCATTTTAATGTGTATCAAACACACCGAGGGCTACAAATAGGCTGGGCGTCTGGATTGAAGCTATCCTTGACTTGCCCTCCTGGTCATCAGAACAATTACACGTCATGTTAAACTCCACCACGCTGTTTATGCTGGAAGTTGTACTCCTGACAATGTGAAAAAACGAATTTTAAAAAAACATAATGGTTTAATTATTGGGGCGTTTTTATTAGCAAATGAATTATTCCACAAGTACATGAAATTTCTACATATTGTTGACAGGAATTATGAAATGGTTTAATCCTATTCATCAGTGTGTTGTTTTCCCTCTCCCAATTTTGAATGTAAACCCTCAATTTCAAATCCCTGTATAAATTCTGTATAATTTTTCTGTACTTATAGCATGATTCTCCCTATATGAATTATGGAGTGAGAAAAGTATCGTTTGGCGGAGCTGATTGATTCCAGAGTGTCTTTAAGTGCTTTTACAGATAAAATGTGGCTGGAGTTAGTACACATACTCTGGCCCCATCAATATCACAGCATATAATATGGCCCAATCACAAGTGTATTGGGACCGCACTGACTCAGGTTTCCTACGTCCCAGTCCCTGCCTCAACTCATTAATACGACAAGCTGCTGAATTTGGGCCATTTTGGCTTTTCAACAAGTAACGACATGTTTGGTTAAAGTTGGTTAAATTAAGCTACATGAACTCCATTCTCAAAAAATTAATTTTTTAAAAATTTATTTGTAATCACATTCTTGCATTAAAATAATTTTACACATTTTTTTTTTTACTTTTTAATTATAAATTTTCCAAAAAATCATTGTTGCAGAACTTATTCTTCACAAAAAATAGGGCTCGAAGAGAGCCTTACTTTTAAGCCTCTGTTTGGAAAAATTCATAAGTCATTTAAATAATTAAATTTTATTTTTAATCACATATTTCAATAAATTCCCAACAATTATTTACTTATTTTTTAAATTTATTTATAAATTAAATTGTAAGAGGCTAAGCGTGTGTTTGGTTGTGATTAAAATTAGATTTTTAGTAAACTGCGATATAAATTTTTGAAATGTATAGTTGAAAAGCCGTGAGACCCACGAAAGATATGATTAATATTGAATGTTTGATTTTAATTTAAATTAAAATCTGATTTTAATCTGAAACAAACATGATCGAAGTAATTTTTGGAAATTTTTTTGCCAGGCTTCATAAAGGTGACAGTACCTGATTAGTTTTTTGAATCGTGCTCCTCGAGACCCACCTCATGTGAAACAACCACTCCGTTAGGCCTTTTAGGAGTAGGTTAATCCTAATTTTTTTTATTACCAACTGTCAACCATAAATTGAAAAGTGTCTGGCAAGGAAATCTGACAAAATTCCTCGTACGTTTAGCATGGTTTTTACATCGTTGGTACAAAAAATGACATGTTTGTGTTATTAATTGACTGTAATTGACTTAAGAATTGAAGAAGTCACGTGGTACTTTTTCTATACGGTTGGTTAGATTTGTCCCCTAAAAAGTTGATAAGGATAAATTGGACTGTACAAATTAATTAATAAAATAAGAGCAAAAATACCTTTTTCACCATAGGAAACAATTATTCATCTGGTGTGGAAGTGTACTTCGTTAACTGCCGAGGTCCCTTTCTCCTCCAATTACGTTGACAACCTCACCACCTTTATCCATTTCATATGTACTATAATTCGGTATAGCTTAAAAACTTTGTTAAAATATTTATGTATTTTACCAACTTTTATCTAAATTTATTAATTTTTTTATTAAAAACTTTATCAAACGACTCCTATATGCATTTACCCTAGCTTAAAATACTTTTAAACTATGCCACTAAATTTACGAAGTCATTCATAATGTATTGTTCGATTGGAAATATGACATTATACGTATTAGTCTATGCCAAAAAGGGAATATAATTGGGAAAATTAGGGTTTGGCTCTCATGTAGTGTAGTTATTTGTCCATGAAACATCAAAAGTATTCGGTCTCGTAATATATACGAATATGTGAATCTGGATTCTTCTATGTCCTTGTTCGAGCCACATTAAAATTTTCATTTTTATTCTTCTACTCATTTTTAAACATACGTTTTTCAATAAAATAATATTTTTCATCACATCAATGATTTTTCCTTCATTTTCAATCGTACATTCTCCATCAATTTACTATTCCAAAATACATTTTTCCAAAATAATGTGACTCAAACACACCGTATATATATTTCGAGTGATTTGTTGCTTTAACTTTTCAGTTTTAAATCAAATGAAAGTCGCTTGTAATTTTAATGACACATTGGTATTCAAATTTATAAATATAAATAAATTGATATTTAAAATTTCACTTTTGAAGGTTAAAAATCTAAAATCACATCATGTGAACGGTTGAAAAGTAGTTTAAAAATTTAGTGAAAATCTAAATTAAAGTTAGTAGTTAATTTTAATATTTTATGGGACTGTAAATTTTATTAACTTTTCAATCACAGACGTAATCAACTTTTTCTTATTTATTAAAAAAATTAGTTTTCAACTACACCAATCAATCAAGGTGGTTGTAATTTGTGAATTTTAAAGAAAGAATGAGGAAGAAAAAAAACGAAGAAATACATAGATGGTGGGTTAAAGGGGCCCACAAATGCCACGTCATGAATGAAGGCCAAAAATAATCTGATTTTAGTCCAAAACTAGAATCCATTTTCATATCCATATTTATTCATATTTCATACTCATCTTCTTCCCTTTCCTTGTCCCTGTCCCACCCTATTCCTGTGTGAAAAATCATGACTCTGTTTCATATTATCTCTCTCCATCATCACCACCCTCTCCCTTCTCAAATTTCAAACCCTAATCCCTCTAAGAGTTCATCCCCATTAACTATCCTAATCACTTGATCTACCCCCTTTTCATCTCTTTTCATACTTGTGTAAATTTACATATTGTAGTTGTTAATCCTTTTGTTATCACAAAGTGAAACTAATTTCGTTCTGTGATTCACCTTTTCCCTACCACAACACCGTAATCTGTATGTATATACGTGCTTATTTTGCTCCCAACCCCACTTCCTCTTTTTTACTCTTATTACTTTTCTATTCTACCTTAATTGTAGGGTTTTCTTTTATCTTCTTTTTCCTTAATTTCTGTTTCTATTTTCTTGATCCTTGTGCTCTTTGATCTGTCCTCTTTTTTTTTTTCGCTTTTTTAATTTCAAATTCGAAATAAGTCTTCTGTGTTTATCCCATTTTTTCCATGTATAAATATTTACCCAAAATCAAATGGCTTTTCAGTCTGTTTCAGCTTTTTCTCGGGTTTTTTCTATTAAAAAATGTTAATTTATCTTCATTTGATTAGTTTTAGTATAATTTAGGATCGTTACTCCTTTTGTAATAATTTAAACTCCCTTTCTTCCAGAATCTTCTTGTTCTTCTTTCTTGAAACTTTAGTTCCATTGTCCTTTTTCACTATAAGTTGAAGTATTTGGCTGATTATATGGCTAATCAGCCTCCACAGGCGACTCCTGGTTCGGGTTCGGGTCCAGGTCTAGGTGGGTTTCAGTATATGAACTCTCCGTTTGGGGATACCACGTTCACTAAAGTCTTCGTTGGAGGGCTGGCCTGGGAAACTCAGAGTGAAACCATGAGGCGATATTTTGAGCAGTTCGGTGAAATTCTCGAGGCTGTTGTCATCACCGATAAGAACACCGGCCGATCCAAAGGATACGGTTTTGTGAGTGTTTCATTGTTATATTTCAAATTCTAGCTTTCAGTATTGTGCATTCCGATTGCTAATTGAGTAGCTAAATTTGCAGCAAAAAAATCTGAGAATTGTTTGTTTGTTTGTTTGTTTCTTCTTTCCAATTTTGATATTAATCTATTATATATCAAGTCAAATGTGGGTGGTGGAATGACTTGGATTTAAATTGGTATTTGTACGGAGGGTTTAGGTGACTTTCCGGCATCCAGAGTCAGCTAGGAGGGCTTGTGCTGATCCGAGTCCAATTATTGATGGGAGAAGAGCGAATTGTAATTTAGCTTCACTTGGACGCCCTCGTCCCGCCTTACACTTTGGTAACTACCTCATCTGACTACAACTATCACACTTGTGCATAATCAATTGTTTTGAATGAATGACATTTTTGTTGAAATTGCTAAATTTTCACAATTGAATCCTTTTTAAAAAGTTTTTATTTCATAATTCTGTTCTCATGGGCATGCAATTGTAGAGTATTACACTGAGGTTTCTTAAAGACCACTGGTGTAGGATAGTGCAGTGTCAGCTGAGTTCACACTTGTGTTGTTGGCAGAAGGTCAACAACAGCTCTTCATTTCCTCTTTTAAACGAACCTGCACTTGTGAATACTTGTGTATACCTTCAAATTTTCGATGATGTTGACAAATTCAGACCAAATTTACTCAAAGTATGATTGAGAAAATAATTATTAAGCATATATTATTTGACCTCATCAGCAAAACATTTTTCCATCTGCTGCATCCAACCCCTCCCTTCCATTTTTAATAATTTTAGTAGGGTTAGTTCATGCAAAATATGTACTGAAAACAAAAGTGTGAATTGTGGCATTTCATATATCTATAAGGTAGGGTGTGTGCCCCCATTAATTTGTTCATGATTTAGGTATAGAAGTGCAAGAAAAATTTGGTCAACATAAAGAAATTGCATGCCAAGAATAGCCAAAAAATCTATAGAAGATAATCCACAATTTGATTGTCATGATTCAAGTTTTGCCTCCATCTCAATGCATTTTGGTTAGCTTCACAGGCTGGAAGATAACAGAAAAAGTTTTAAACGCAAAGGAGGTTGTTAGACCATTCTGGGGCTTAATAGTGCGCCTCAGATCTTTCTATAACCCACTTAGTATTCGTCCTTTGGAATTTTTAAAGTTTAACAGTATGTCTGTAATCTCAGATAATGATCTATTCAGTTAAATTTCAATCAAATATAAAGTACAATAATCTTTTATTCTCTGCCGTTATTGCTTATAGGACGTCTTAGATCTCCGGCACCGTACCTTGGAGGGCTACCAGCTGCCAGGGGTCCTTATGTAGGAAGTTTTGGCTATCAGCAAACACCCACCTACGGTTACCAGCAAGGATTGATGTATTCTCCATATGGGTGAGCTATGTATTATAAACATAATAAGTCATCTAGTATACAAAGACGGTTTTTTAAAGACAGGAACATGTTGGTTGGATATATGTACATGAATATTATTGGTAGTCTGGGAATATCGCATCGTTTTTACCCCCCCTCCCTAACTAATTTTACTCGCACACCTAATATGTGACAATTTTTAGAAATGAATCGAAAGAAAGAATGAGTTTGGAAAGTAATGTTGATATGGAATTTATGTTCTTTGTCCAACTGAATGCTTTATAGCCGTAATGCACTATAACATCTTTGTTCCTTAGTACTTTGTTTCCTCAATAATATATCTATATTGTTCAAGTATTATTGTCTTGAATGACATGGGATTGGTAAAAAAAGGTAGGGGAAGTAGGCTTTAGTTGGGAGAAATGAAAAAAGAAAGTTCCTATGGGGTATCTTCTTGTCAAGATGAGGGTAGGACTAGGATTTTATTGTTAGATATCCAGAGGAGATGAGGTGAGGTGAGTGAAACACAGACAAGAAGAGGGAGAGGTGATTGAAGCAAGAGCATGAATCTTAATTAACTGGGGAGATTATTAGATATGATGGAGAAAGAAATTGGTAGGTCTGGACAGACTTGGGATTGCAACGTGCTATCAAATGGGGATTTTTATCATTTTTGTGGCATGTGATTTCAGTATTGCTGTCAATAGGTGCATGAGGAGAATACGTATGATCTTAATTATTGTTTTGTTTTTTGATTTCTATATTTGGGCATGTGTCCCCTATTTTGCTCATTTCTAAAATAAATGTACTTGTAAAAGCTAAAAAGTTGTATAGTATCAAATATTAACTGAATCCTTTTTCAAAATGGTGTTATATAGAACAATTCTTTTACATGACATGATGTTCTATGGAATATGAGCTTGAACTTTAGTTTTTTAGCACTTTATTTCATCTCTTCTATTGTTGCAGGTATGCTGCATACAGTCCAGAATATGCTTATCTCCAGGTCACTATAACGATAACTATTGCTGCTGTGGTAATTTCATGATGCCAAACTGTCTTCTGACACTCAGTTATTGTCGTTTTGTCTTGTAGGGTGTATACAATCCTTATGCGGGTCAGCAATACCTTCCAATTTATGGTGTTCCTGGAGCAGTAAATACAACTATGCACCCTTTCAGCTCTTTGAGCCAAGCTGTTCCAGGAAGTCACAGTTTTACGACATTGCAGGGATATGCAATGTCTGGTCATCCGATAGTTCAGTTTGGTGGGCCAAGTGTCACTGCAATGGCAACTACATCTGTTCCAGCACCGTTCCCTACTGGTAATATTTCCATCTCACGGTATTTTTTTGGACCATCTACAAGAAAGACATGATATTTGGGTCCTATTTTTGTGCGAACTCATTGCAAGTCCTACTTATGTGCACATGGCATCATTTTTGTTCCCTAAAATCCCTTAGGAGGCTATGCTTTGTTGTCTAAATTAAGGAATGATGTCAGAGTTGAGCTGTCTGCTATGAAAATACTGGTTTCTAATGCATTTGCCAAAGGGGACTCCAAGTGCCCATTGACCAAAGAATGGAGACCATGCTTCAACTTCTCTGTATTAGAATAATCTTGTTTTTCTCTTTCTCTGGGTTAATTGGGGCCTTTCCATGTGTGTGTATTAAGTCGAAGACTTTTCATTTACAAAATGAGGGTGGCAGTCAATGTTACATCTGTTGGGTTCTCCTTGAAATGGTTTATTGCAATTTTATGATTTTGAATAGGCAGATCTGAGTTTAGCATTTTGGTTGTATCAGGTGCTGCAGCACCTATTACACCACAGCCACAATTCATACTATCTTCTCATTCTCCTCAATTCATGCAAGGTAGCAGTTCTGATCAAAACGCTGGGTGAGGGGTTGATCAAGGTGAGTGTTGGTTATCTTCTTCTGCTTGTTGTAGATATTATTTGATTTTCTTGCTAGATATTTTTGTTCTAATTTTGATGCTATTTTGCAGGTTTCCTTAGATTGCAGCAGGACTAAGAACAGCAGTACTGCTACTTGAGTGGCGGGCTTCAAATCTAGCCTTGCAAATTATCCATTTTGCATTCTAGAGGTATATCATTCTTTGTACTCGATTTATTATACTTCTCTTTTTGATTAAAAAGTCATTTTGCAAATAACAGATCGGTTATCAGTGTATGATGTGAACAATCTTACTGCTGTTTGACCTTTTAGCTAACCTTCAGTTCTTAAATCTGTCTGGTTCTACTACTATAATAACTAATTAAGGCACCTGATTCTGCAAATAGAATGCTCATCATAATGCTAGCAGTTGATCAGGAGAACTTAATACATTCTCTGAAACTGAAAGATGAGAAATGTAAATGTTTTCCACCCAAAAGTGTATTATGTATTTTTAACAAATGATTGTACACATAGGATAAAGATTGAAAACGGTTGTTACAGTTACTTACCTTGAGCAACTAACTCAGACCTCCAAGTTCTGATTATTTTGTGGTGAGTGATGGAACTGAAGGTCTGCTAGTGTTCTAAGTGGCAATCAAGGTTTGGTCCTTGCACTTCTTTCTCCGATCCATGATCCCAAATTTTATTGGAGCTACCAGCTGTTGATAACATTGTCATTTCATGCTGGATATAAAGAGATTCGAGGGAACAAGAATAGAGTAGAGAGAGGTGTGTGATGAAACGTTATGTCCACTGGATTAATGTCTTTTTTCCCATTTTGTCCTGGGTTGTGTTGCCTTGGCTTCAGAAGATTCTTTGAAGTTTAATGAAAAGAAGCATTTCTGTTATCTTATCCATCCAAAATCCCTTTTTGGTTGCAATTGTAGTTTACCTGGGAGGGTTAGTCGCACCTGAAAGTATGTCATTCAACTAAATCTGGTATTATTTTCAATGGCAACTGATTATGGAAAGAGTTCACACTGCAAAGTGCTGTTATATTTTCGTCATGCTATCATGCTTCTGTCCATGCAGTGATGCATCCTTGACTTGCATCATGTTTCAGCCTTGGTGCTTTACATATTCAGCCATCAGAAAGTGGGGTACATAAAGTATCCTTCACGTCCAGTCTTGTTCAAGTGGATCTCTGAAAATCTGAATACGGAAGAACAGGAATATCAGAGATTAATATATTTTATGCTTTTACATCTCATTTTCTGTTCTCTGTTTTAATCTCATGTTTATGCAGGTCTTACATTTTCGCGCTCACCGTAGAACTCAATGTCCGAGTTGCTCCTGATGGAGGAGAAAAAAAATGGAAACGTGCGGATTGCACTTCCTTCAAACATCATGTATCTAAACTACCGTTTTCTGTCACTATTCTGGATTACTGGCAGATAGTGATAGGTTGATGGTTGCCGGAATCGGGTTCCGGCTCCCATTCCCATGTGTGTAAAAATGAAAAATCATGGTTAGAATCAACATATGATTCTTTTACAGTGGAGTCCGTCCCAGCATTTTGGGTGTGTGGTCTCTGGTGTCTGTGTTTGGTA